TCCTTCATGACCCTGGCCCAAGTCATACGCTGGCAACCTAACTTTCACTTCCAGCTGACTTCTGCGTGCACGAAGAGGACACGGCGAGGTAAGCGATGAGTAGGCATGCGCAGCACGTGCCCAAGCCACCGAAGTCTGTGCAGAGAAATTATACTGCTCAGTGACCGGCAAATTCTGTATGATGTGAAAATCCTTCGTCGAATGTCTTCATTCCTAGTGTGATGTTCCCATCGTACACCAGCAATGCTCCGAAGGCAGCGGAGATAAAAAAACAGACAGCCTCACAACATCTTTTGCGCGAACATGCCAAGTCTCGCAGCCATAGAGAAGAACTGCTCTCACTGTGGCATAGTAAACTCAGCTAAACTCAGATCCATTTGACGCCAGAGATTGGTCAAAAATAACCCGAGCTTTGGACATGCGCAAAGAGACCTCATCCGTTGAACCATTAGCACTGAGGCAGCTTCCGAGGTAAACGAACTTGTCCACCACTTCCAATGAATGACGTAGAAGGGTAAGGTCAGGAGCAGTGCCTAGCCAGTCCTGCAGGATAACCTTGCACTTCGATGATGCGAAGGTCATTCCAAACTGGGAGACAGATATCTCCAACCTACACAGAACATTTTAGGCGGCCTGTGAGGAAGTGCAGATTACGGAGATGTCGTCTGCATACTCCAAATCCCGAAGTCATTCCCCTGGAGGCAGCTCGACGCCGCTGGATTCGCAGTTCCCCACAGCACTCTCCAAGATTTCGTCCATAGCGAAATTGTACAAGAAGGGGGATGCCGGGAAACCCTGTCTTATGCCACTGGCGATACGAAACGAGGAGTCAAAGTCCACCGTACATCCGCACTCGGCCCGACGTTTGACAGCAGATGGCTTGAAGTAAGGTGACATACTTCTCGGGCACTCCCGTTCTCAGTAGACAACTTCAGAGAGCAGCTCTGTCGACTGAGTCAAACGCGGCTCGTATGTCTAAGAAGACAAGGATCGTTAGCTGGCCAAATGTTTGACGGCGCTCGAGTATTTGGTGGAGTGTAAAGATGTGATCGATGCAACTCCGACCTGAGCGGAACACAGCTTGCATTTCACGTATGCTCTGTTCGCGTACCAGATTGAGCCTCCTTAGAAGTAGAGCTGCGAGCACCTTGGAAGTAACACAGATGACACTAATCCCCCTGTGTTTGACGCAGTCAGTTCGGGCACCCTTTCTGACGACGGGCACGATATCCGCTAGGCTCCAATCAGATGGGATAACTTCACTGAACCAGATCTCTTGGAGGAAAAAAGGTAACTCCTGAACAAGTGATAGGCCGCCATCTTTGAAAAGAACCAGATGGAGTTTATCTGGGCCAGGGGCTTTGCACCGCTTCAAGAGGCGAAGATCGTGCGCAACCTCAGCCTAAGATGGTCGTGAAGCGTCTACACACCAGGGAGCACTCTGGGCTCCAGAATGGAAACTCATTGTTGCTGCTGGCCAATTAAACTGATGCTCGGCCCAACGCTCGAGTCGGTTTTTGACAGTGAATTGGCCCACCATTGGTAGCGCATAAAACTTCGCTTACACTCGGCCTTTTACCGCCAGTAGACTGGATCAGGAGGAAAAGCTTACGGAAATTCCCCGAAGTGGCCGCTTGCTCCATCTCATTGACCCGCTGCGTTCACCAGGCCTCGCGATCTTCCCGGAGAAGCTGTTTGAGCTCAGCGTTAGTAGTCTTGCGCAGTGAATGGTATTTAACACCAGTAGGAATTGCTCCACGGACTTCGAGGAGTTAGAGGGATCGTGCAGAGATCCAGTGCTTGACAGGACTAATGGTGAAGCCACAGATCAGGGTTGCAGAGTTGCACATGGCACCGCGGATGTGTGCCCAGTGTGTTTCAATGTCTATGCATGGGGCAGTCTTCAGCCGTGAGGCCAAGGCATCCTAAAATGAGTGGAAAAGGTTTAGGGTAGAAAGCTTAGCTACGTCAAGCCGTTTTTGGCGACGCTGCTGTGAGCCACAAAAACGTAGCGCAAACTTGGCACACACCAACGCGTGATCCAAAGTGAGATAGGTACTTCAGATTGATTCGGAATCCTGTACGCCACCCCGCCAGCGATAGCTAATAGCGATGTGGTCAATTTGTGTCCACGGCTGGCCAAGTGATGGGGGTCTGCAGGTGGCGTGTTGGCGCCAGGATCCCCGAAATCTAGCGCTCGACAGAAAAATATCGTGCTCAGCGCAAAGTTGAAGTAATCGATCACTGTTGTCAGTCCTGCGAGTGTCGTAGCCGTGTTGACCACCGAGTTCAAGTTTACCGAGCTGCGCGTCCAAGTCCCCGGCGAGCACCACGATGTCAGAACGGCGCTTTTTACGTAGAAGGTTGGCCAGTTGACCATAGAACTCATCTTTAACTGACTCCAGGATGCAATCTGTGGGAGCCTAAGCTGCGACAACGAATAGACAGCGTCTGCTGGTTTTGCACCTGGACAGTTGCACTGAAGTTTCAAGTCGGATCGCGCATAGTCGACTGTTAACAGGGATCCACTCTAGTAGCGCGGCCTCAGCACGTGTGCTCAACGAAATCCCCATGGCAGCATAACCAGCGGCTTCGGCGGTTGTCTTCAGACAGGCGCAAAGTGAAAATGCCAGTGGGATTCGCAGAGGGTGAAACTAGTCGCAGCATCGTGCTAAAGTCCAGTAAATGGGTCTCGATGAGACAGTAGACATCAATGGCAGTAATTTCTAGAGTGCGGGCAATCATCATCACCATCGTCAACAGCAGTATGTCAGCCATTTGAACTGGTGCTTCGTTGTCATACAATCACGATGACTTATGAAATAAAGAATAAGAAGAGGGAGAGAAGGGGGACTTATCTGATAACGTTAAACAAACCTTCAGCGCCAAAGCGCCTACACTTTGCGTAGACAACATACCGTCACAAACATCTGGCTATCGTGCAAAGATAAGGCGGCATCAGCGAGACAAGTTCCTTGCGGCTTTCACTGCCACGCGTCATAATCAGCCATTACCCCGCAGATAACTCAGCACCAAACACACTTAAAACAGGCAATCCGATTAGGAGACGGCAGTAGAGGCGCCACTGGGGTCTACTGCGAGCCATGTCCTGTAAAGTCGCGAGCCAAGCACAAGGCCAGTCACGTGGACTCCAGCCCGGAAGGCGAGACGGACCAACGGCACCCAGTTTGGTCGTCAAGGGGCTGCCTGTGATCCCATCTGCATCGGCATTCGAACATTGAAGGTTGCCAGCTTGAATTGGGAACGGGGAGCTAGAAATGGCTTGTCAATACGATTTAGCGCATCTTCGGACCTACGCTCCTGATCCGCATAACAAGAACGTTCGTCCAAGGCGGCACGATGTTGTGAACTCGAAAAAGGGAGGGGAAGACCAAGAATGGGGGTTGAACAGACGTGGAATAAAGTGACTAAACGGTGGTGCGGTAAAAGGTTTAGCCGCCAGCACCTCAGCCGATGAGAGTAGTTTGAGAGAATGAGATCAGTTAGAGCAAGATCGGAGAGAGCGAGCGAAGAATTATTGAGATATGGATCCATAGGTTGTGTGTGTATACTTCTAGGTTACCCAGGCCGAGGAAGAGGGTTGACTAAGGGGACCGCACCCGGAGCCTTGGGTCGTAAAGACCTATCCCGCAAGGTAGCGGGGAGATTGACATACACCGCGACCGTTGGGAGCCGGCTGTCTAGGTGAACGGTTTTCGAGTAGTAGCAAACTACTCAGGGAGCCCAAAGAGTCCCAGTGAAGCAGCAAAGACTACCGAGCTCGCGGCGAAGGCCGTTGACAGTCGAGTGGCTCATATGCCTTCACATAAGCCGGTTGCCATCAAGGTTGTTCATCCGCCCACCGTTAAGTACTCACTTCTGTGACCAGAAGTGAGTGGTCAGTGACCCTATAGCCGGTCACATTGGCTTTGACACAGCGTCTTACGAGCTCTTGTGGTATTTAATGAGGAACCAGGTGACCAGCCCAGAACCTCCCACGCTCTAGGACGCTGCCGCTGATTGTCCGCGACTGCTTATTCATCTCGTCTGCGAACAGCCGAGACTTATTCACAGTTACCTTTGCAAGGAAGGCGTTCCCCGATCTGCAACCTGGGGACGCGCCCGGTGGCGTACAGCTTCGTCGAACCAACCAGTTGGGTAATCAGTAGAATAAAAAAGAGGGGAAAAGAGAGCATGCTGTAGGGTAAGTTGAGAAGACAGAGAAAACATCGGAATTCAAGGGAACTGAGTAAAAGCGCTTAGTCGGCGACCCGGTGGTTATCGGAATCGAAAAAGTGGAAGTTCAAAAAGGAGTGCGACAAGTAACTGTTGGGTGGAGCTCAGAGTAACTACTCTAGACTCTGTCGACCAAAGTCAATGATAGTGAATTGCAAACAACCTTAGAAATCCACAGAACTTGGGATTTAATTTAGAATTTATAAAAAACAAGATGCGGTGGGTGGAAAAGACGCAGTATTGTTCGTGTTTTTTGCCGAGGTGAGACAAAGGTACTTCAGCAACTGTATAGCAGTGTCGGGATAACTGCCAAGGATGGGTTGCCTCACCCATTTATCCGGTGGCCGAAAGGATGGGGTGTCTGCCTTGTTGTAACCCAAAGATCACCGATTCGAATCTGCGCAGGGACGGGCGACATTGCAGTATTCCTTGCTGGTGTACGACAGGAATCGAAACATCGATACGGCGTACAGATAATAAATCGAAATAAATGGTTGATCATGAGAAGGGATGCAGTTCAGCTTAGAGGCACAGGTCGGAAGCGAAAATTAATTAAGTAATTAATTCCAATCCATCCGATAGGAAGTGATAACACAACAAATGTGATAAACAAGAGAAACAACGTGATTGAAGACGGATCCAGAGCCCGTTGGATGGCAAACCTCAGTGTGAAAAGTGTGAGTGGAAATCAGATAATGGAATATGTAAGCAAACTAAAGTGACGTTGAAAAATAGCATAGAGAGAAAAAATGAAATAGAAACCCTTACCAGTTGCCAAATGATAGGTGCATATCGGCAGCAGCGACTGCCATGTAAGCGCATATATTGTTCGGGCCCGAATCAGACCGCTCCCTTGACATTTCAGTTTCGAAATAAGCGCAGAGATCATGTTCAGCCTGCGTCAGGTTTCGCTTCTGAGTTGCATGCAGAAGAGATGTGTACCGCTGTAAAAGTATATGGGGAACTCCGTAAACGTCGATGTTATAAGGCAGACACGAGTGGGTTTTAAAACAAAAATCGGGCGGTGACCGGAAGAACAAGGCCGGAGCCTAGTAGTCAGAAAATCACCGGTTCGAATATGTGTGGATGCGGGGGATCTCTTAGTATCGGTAGCCCCCATGCGACTGTTGGTGGTCAAGCGGCAGCAAATTGTCGATATGGCGTACCGGCGTGCTGCCCATGATTTTTATGGTGGTTAACTGACGGGAAGGAAAAAGACACTATAAACCCTGCTGGACAGGGCGACGCAGATTGCTGCAAGGTTCGGTATATGCGTCATACTTTCGAAGAGAAAAACATGAGCAAAAATATAGATCACATTTTCACCACTTCTCATTAGCTCCGATCGAGTACTCGAAGTAGCAGATTGGCGTCAACAAAGAGGATGTGACGTAAATCACCAAAACTATGTGCGTTGCTACTTCTTGCCCATTTGTGGAGATGGTGACAGAGTGCTGCTGTATGGAGTATCGACATGTCCACTAAGCCACAAAGGCACTAAGATACCAGTAGTCTTTAAGCACCAGCGCCTAATAAGAGTGTCTTATATCTGATGGAAAAACGATGTTCTTCTACTGTTTAACTACTCGCATTCGGCAGTAAACCCGTTGGTACAGCATTATGCCACTTTCCAAACAAGAAGTGCCTACTCAGGTATTCATGTGCTCTTAAGGTGTGTTGTCATATAGTCCGATGATGAAACGTTTGTAACCTGATTGTCAAGTCCGAAGGGCACATGAACACCTGGACAGTCAACTCGATCTACCTGGGTCTCGAGTAAGAACTACCTACGCTAGCCTGTTATCTCCACATGCCTTTTGAACGTCCACCCAGAAACGTAATGTTTCACACACTGCGCGGAACCGGGTTAAGGGCCAGAGTGACTAACGAAGTTTGGTCAGGAGCTTGAAGGAAAATTGCCGGGTTTGCACGCGCTGTTTGCCTGAATAGGAGCAACCCGATATGCCATATCGATGGATGGGGACCTAGTCAAACGACGCGAACACGAATTCATTGGTGTGTTTGTGCGTGGTTTATGATTCTTGTTGTCGACAAGTATGAAATTTACCACGTCACAGTGCTGGTAAGTTTGTGTTTCACCGCAGCAAACGTTCTGCATTTCTGTCAACAATAAGGTGCGTCAAGTATTAAGCAGGAGTGAATCAACACTTATTGTTATTTGCAAGAATGCACCAAGCACCATCCTCAGTGAAAAGCGGCCAAAAAGAAAAGGAAAGAACGGATCATAAATAAAGCCAACAAATGTCTGGGTAGTTGATAAAATATCCATAAGAACGAGATGCTACTCACTGGAACAGAGAGATGGAGGGAGAGTGGCTTGGAATCACCATAGTTTTGCTTCCAGTGTGTGGAATGATCATTTTGATGACAAGTCAGCTTCGCAAAAGAATCCGCAATGGGCTTCGCAGGTTTTGAAAAAACGCTACACCCAAAACGTCAGGGATGAAATACAAAACATACCAACCGGACGCTGGTCCAACACTTTCGGTACTTGTACACGGCATGGAATTCTCTTGGGTGTTCGAATGAATTGAAACGTCATAAGCTTCGAAAAAGCCGTTCAAAAATTCAGTCATTTGTTCGAAGCTTTGGTGATGAAAACCAAGCGAGAACCGACGCAGGAATAAGCCTTGGTCAATAGACGAGAGTGGAGAGAACTAACCAAATACGCTGTCTTTGGTAAGCATGAACTTATCCTCATCTTCCAGAGGCACGTCAGAGAAGAAGAGTCCCCTGACAGTGGAAGGATGTGTGTAGTTTACTAATTCGAAGAAATTACGCAGTTGAGAAAATCTGTAAGTTGCTCGTTAGAAAATGTAACTGAAGGTCTGTACCGGTCACGCAACAGGACCCGTATCCGTGTAGGTAGAACTGATGAATCTTGTCGAAGACAATCGAAAGGGTCAGTGGGTGCATTCTTAATCATTTGGTTGAATAAGGAAAAAGTACTTACTCGAAGTAAACTGTAACAGAACATGTAAAACTTTACTTTCTCATCGGCCTGTTTTACATCGGAAAACACTGGATTATCGAGATCGATGGCAGACAGATATTCTCTTATGAGTACGAAGAGAATAAGGTTGGAGTTGGTCACAGAATCTGCAAAGACGGACTCTGTCAGAAATCCATCAAATAGTGGCATCTAGAACTGAATATGCTGCGTCGGTATGGAAATCGTATCGAGGAGTATCGGATACCCTGAAATGAGAAGTATCGACAATAGAACAGATCAACAACCCACACACGTCTTTGTGGGAAAACCAGATGCGGTGATATTTCAATTTGCATAAAATCACAGATGAACGATTCAGACGGACAAAATTTTGCTCGGAAAGTCCACTTCTCTTGAATACCCTTATTCACTCTCCTGCGGAACATGTTAAGCTTTGACTTTTTTATAAGCAATAAACCATTGGCCAATGACAAAAAAGCAGTCACTAAACGCGAACACCGAGTTCAATTCAGAAGGTTAAATATGTCATATGCAGTGGATCCAGTGTCTCATGATTCAAGGAGCCAAAAAAAGCATCAATAAATAAGGAATATGGAAAAGGAAAATAAACACGAAAAAACGCAATCACCTGATGGAGGAACAACGCGAAAGATTAAATATGATAGACACTGACTTCTGGACTGGATTCGCAATAATTGTTATGATGTGTTAGTCGCCTACCACGGAAGAAGACAAGCATGAACCTGACCTACTTCAAAATTAGACTTCATGACCCTTTATTATACGATTGATCCATCTAACCCGAGGATTTCGTTAAACATAAACAAACAAATAGTAAGTGCGCATGCTAAGCACCTCAGTTGGTAGAGGTTGGCAGTGCGAGTGAAAAACAGTCGACTGGCTAATCTGAATAGGCATTTTAGGGTTGCGAGAACCGACGGTTTGTATCGTCCACCGCCAGTGTTGTTTCGGTTAGCTAGTGACACTCGGTTTGCCGTGTTCCAGAACGCGTTCTGTTACATGGTGACAACAAATGCCTGGTTTCCAGCGTAAAGCTTCCGTAGTTCTTTCTGGTGATGCCGAATACATACCCTCGACTTCCCGATATCAGAGTCGCGCTAAGAAAACGATCAGATGATAGTTTTCCAGCACTAATACTGAACAGATGTAATTAGGAGACTTGACTTAAATGCTCAAGCGCAATGCACGGGCGGTGGACGAAAGCGGGGGGAGTTGCAGTGGTGAAGTCAGTTAGTTTCGCAATGGAATGTTAGCTATCAAATCGATCAGCGCGGAGAATACAACATGTAAACCACAGATAGAAGAGTATATGATGTTGCTTCGGTTGACCTTCGTACCGACTCCAACTCAGAGGCTACCAAAGGCAAATTACATTAGCAGCTATATTCCCCATTTCTGACGGATGAGGGTACTGGTATCGGGAACGACATGAATGCTCAATACACTTGCCAATAAGAGTTCAAACACGATCTCGAAGACTATTTCCGGGTAGGGGCAAAGGCAAAAGGATCGCTGGACGTTAAGCAACGGTAAACAGAGGGGAAAATAACCCGCAGAGAAGAATGGCCCATCCTGTGTTTCTGTGTGCAGTAACAACCCCATCATCATCATCATCATCATTACACGTTAGCTGGAGGTGGAAAACACCTCAGCTATTGTGCCGCAATACAAAAGAAAGGAAAAGGAAAACAGTGGCAAACAATGGCACGCCCGCTGAGTCCCCAGTAACGGATGGACATCGTTCCGGAGAACTAACAGCTGGCTGCCGTAAAAGAGAATCGTATTATGCTTAACAGGTGAGATCGTGATTGGAGGGGGATACTAAACAGGAGGGGGATGGACAAAGGAACTCACAACACAAACGCCATTGGTGCCGGCTCCGAGCCATATCAGCAAGTGTGTCCAACCGAACGTGTTCACCGTCTTTAGGACCCCAGCCAGGCAGTCGGGATGCACCAACCGACGCCAACTTCGAAGTGAGGGTTTTCATTTCTCTCGACCAAGTCATTACTTGGCCTCTCCTCCTCCTCTTCCAACCGCACCCACAACGCGCAAACAATGCACGTCGCGGGAGTCGATGTGCTGGCATGCGCAACACGTGGCCCAGCCATCGGAGCCTGGTGCGTGATATAATGGTGCTGAGCGGTTCACTCGCTCTTCCTGCACCAAATACGCGACGTCGAACACGATCATTGCTCACGCGGTGTTCCCACCAGACATGAGCTAAGCTGCGAAGGCAACGATGATCGAATGTGACGAGCCTCTTCATGTCTGTCGACCTGATGGGCCAGGTTTCACAACCATATAGGAGAGTTGAACGGACAGCTGCGTTGTAAACTCTGCCCTTCAGGGCGAGAGTAATGTCGCGTCTGTGCCACAGGTGGCGGAGATTGGCAAAAGCACCTCGAGCCTTTGCTATGCGGTTCGTAACCTCATCTTCAATCCCACGGGTGCTAATATAGCTGCCCAGATACTTGAATTCCTGAACAACTTCTAGCAGATCATCACCAAGTGTTAGCGCAGGGCTGGGTCCCTGCCAATCTTGGAGAAGTACTTTGCATTTCGATGGAGTAAAGCATAGCCCAAAACGATTGACAGCCAGTGCTAATCGGTCCAGTGCTCTTTGGCATGTTTGGGCGCTGTCACAGATTAGGGCAATATCGTCCGCACACTCCAAGTCAAGAAGTCGCTCACCAGGAAGTAGCTCCACACCATCTAGGTCATGTCCAGCGAACGCTGTTTCCATGACTTCATCAATAGCGAAGTTGAAGAGGAAGGGTGACAGCGGGCATCCTTGTCTCACACCGCTGGTGATACTGAAGGGTGGCGAGAGTTTGCCATAAACCCTCACCCTGCCCGAACTATGCGCGTACAGCGTTTTGATAATGTTTACATATTTATCAGGCACACCTTTCCTCAGCAGACAGTCCCAAAGGGCACATCGATCGACTGAGTCGAAGGCACCTTTTATGTCAAGAAACACGACAACGGTGGGTCGCCAATAAACATGGCGGTGCTCCAACACTTGACGCAATGTGAAATGTGGTCGATGCAGCCCCGACCTCGACAAAATCCGGCTTGCTCTTCACGAATCTGGCTTTCACGAGTGCTAGTCAGTTTGTGGAGAATGACAGAGGCAAGCAATTTAGAGGCAATCGAAATCAGACTGATCCCTCTATGATTGCCGCATTCCAAACAGGAGTTCCCCTTGAAAATTGGGACGATGACGGAGCGGTTCCAGTCTGCCGGGACTGTCTCCTGCTCCCAGTTTTACTAGCAACTCGTGTAGATCATCTACCAGAGCAGGTCCCCCGAATTTGAAGAGGGCTGGGGGAATTCTATCTGCCCCTGCGGCCTTATGCAATTTCAACAGCCGGATCTCACGTTCGACCTCTGCGCGTGAGGGCGGATCCGAGGAGACGGCCCAAGGAGAAGGGCGCTCAATGCCCGAAGAAGAAAGCGATAACTCAGGTTTGTTAAATTGCCTTGCAAAGTGTTCAGCCCAACGCTCCAAGCGTTTTGACAAGCTGTGGATCGGCTGCCCACTCTCGTCGCGTATGGTCTCGCTAACACCAGGTCTCCTACTGCCTGCTTCCCGTATAATACGGAATAACTTACGATGACTACCCACGGCAGCGGCTGTTTCCATCTCAGAGGCACGATGAGACCACCAGGTATCGCGGTCCTTCTTCAGGCTAGTACGTAGTTTTGCCCTGAGATTTTGCGAGCCTCATTGTATTCGCTTCCAGCCGGAATACGTCGGCCAGCATCCATAATTTCCAGAGACTGTGTAGAGACCCAATGTCCGGTTTGGCAATTTGCTTTGCCACATGAAGACATGCCTGTTAACAGTAACGTTTGACGAATATGCGACCAGTGATCTTCAACGGTGTTTAGTGGGCGCTTACCCAGCCCAGATGTAAGCGCACTATGGTATACATTCAGGACATCTGGCTTCGTCAGCTGGCCAGTGTCAATCCGTTCACATCGACGTTGCGGGCGTCCAATGAAACGCACCCGGAGGTCGGCACAGACAAGTGCGTGGTCAGAGTCCACGCTCGTGCTCCAGATCGAGCGACAATTTTGGACACAGCCTCTCCAGCCGTAACTGATCGCGATATGATCGATTTGTGTCCATGGTTGGCCCGAGGTTGATGGCCGCCAAGTCACGCTTCTGCGGGTGCTGTGTCGAAAGTTAGTGCTCGCGAGAAAGAGGCGAGCATCCCCACACAGCTGTAGCAATCGCTCCCCATTATCATTACGCGAGCCTACACCATGTTGGCCGCCCAGATGAAGCTCATCAGAGGACAATTTTCCGACTTGGGCGTTTAGATCGCCAGCCAACACCACAGTATCCATGCTTCTTCTGTAACGAAGGAGCTCGTGAAGTTGCTGATAGAAATCATCTTCTACCGAATCAGTGCTGCAGTTTGTAGGAGCGTAAGCCGCAATGACAAACAGACAACGTTTGTCCCCGCGCGACTTCGTAGCACGGAACGAACCAGCTAATCTAACGGCGCACATCCTACTGCTGACTGGGATCCAATCAATCAGGGCAGCTTCAGCCCGAGGACTCAAAACAACGCCGACGCCAGCTTGACCGGCATTTGAAGCTGCATCATCGCCAGACAGGCGCAATGAGAATGTGCCGCCAGTGTCGCATGTGGGGGATGTCAGGGTAAGCACGGAGCTCGAACCTTGCAGGCGGGTTTCTGATAAACAGCAAATATCGATCGATAGGGTCTCTAGGGTGCGGGCAAGTGCTGCCTGTTGGCCAATCTGCAGCAAAGTGCGCAGGTTGAAGCATGCTAGTCTTAGCGAGACGCGAGGACTCCAAAGGGAAACGGATGAACTGACGTTGTCCGCTTGGTTGAACATGGACTTGTCAACTGGACTGGAGCGAGGCCCTGGGATTGTGTGTGATTTGAAATTAGAAGACAAGCGACTATGGAAATAAGCTGGGGGAGGGCCAAGGATTGGGGGATTGAAAATGGGGGGATATAAGTAAAGTTGGAGCGGGACGATAAGGATGAAGAAGCGCAAGAAGGGGTATAAGAAGCCGGGAAGGGCTGAGCAGAAGCATCCATACCCATATCCACTCTGCTCGATGCAGCAGATAGGGCACCGTTGATTATCCTCTGCGACGGCCAGAGCATCAAGAAATTGTT